TTTATTTATTTATTTAGTGGAACTGGGGATTGAACTTAGGCCCTTGAGCTTGCCAGGCAAGCGCTTATTCTACTGAGCCATCTCCCCGGCCCCCCTTATATTTATTTATTTGGTATAGGATCTTTCTACACAGCTCGGACTCAAAGTGAACCTCCTGTCTCAGCCTCCCCAGTGCTGGGATTACAGGCATGTGCCACCTCGCCCAGTTTCAGTAGCTGGCTCAGCATGGGGCCAGCATAGCATGTGGTACCAAGGATCAAACCCATGTCCTTATGCTTGCCAAGCAGGCACTTAGACTGCCAAGCTGTCTCTCCAGCCCCAAACTCATGATTTGTAGTGAACCTGGATTCCTCCTACCCTTTGGCTATGCTACTCAGTCTTTGTGTTCCTGATTCTGTGTGAGAAAGTAGGGTCTGGTTCTATTTTTCTTTCAGCCCCTCTACAGGTTTGAGATGGAATCTTGTTGTTCATATTTCAGGAAAGGTTGAAGTATGAATGCCCACCACTGGGCCCTCAGTCCTCTGGAAAATGGACTTTAGAGTAGGCCCAAGAAGTGTGAGGTAGAACTGCTTCTTGCAGCTGAGAGCAGGCTGTGGAATCTGTCCTCTGGGATATCAGATCTTGTTATTTGTCTCCAAATAGAAGTGTTCTTTTCTTTGCTCCTAGACCTAAACTGAAGAAAAATGGTCTTTGGAGGTCAGCTAGACCAGTCTTTAGTTGAATCCTAAGGAGGCTGAGGCATAGAGCAGAGAGTGCTGGTTTGGAGGCCCAGCTGACTTATGGTTGGCCTGACTGGAGAGAGAATTGGTTTGAAGGGGCCTTTGCGTGCCCTTACCAGAGGACTATTTATTACCTACATGTCATGTGTTTCCTTTGCAGGACAAGACTAGATGCACCCCGGTTGGAAACAAAGTCTCTGAGCAGCTCCATTTTGCCACCCAGCTATGCTTCAGATCGCCTGTCAGGAAACAACAGGGACCCTGCTCTGAAACCTAAGCGGTCCCACCGCAAGGCAGATCCTGATGCTGCCCACAGGTACTCAGCTAAGGACTGCAACAAAAGCTGGGCGTAGTGATGTGTGCCTACAACCTTAGCTGCTCCGAAGGTTGGAGAACAGGAGGATAAGGTCAAGGCCAGCATGGCCATTTAGTGAGACCTTATTTCAAAAAAATGAGCAGAGTGTGGTTGTATATAGTAATCCTGGTATCTTGGAGGCTAAGGCAGGAGAATTGTGAGCTGAAGGCCAGCCCAGACTATATATAGCAAGACCCTACCTCAAAAAAAATCTAAAGAGAAGGACTAGGGATGTAGCTTTGTATTCCATAGGTTTACTGTCCAGTCCTGGGATGAGGAGGCAAAGTAGCCCCATGCCTGGATACAGGGTGCAGTGGGTAGAAAGGCCTAAGTAATAGGTTGTTTAAGAGCCTAGGGGTGGGGCTGGTGAGATGGCTCAGTGGTCTAAAGCACCTACTTAGAACAAGCTTAGCAAAACGCAGGGACCGCGGTTCAATCCCCCAGCACCACATGCCAGCCAGCCCCGCCCCCTGGTGGGCTGAGCTGGCCACACACACACACACACACATAAATAAATAAATTAAATTAAAAAATAAATTAAATAAATAAATAAATGGAACTATATCATGTTTTAAAAAAAAAAAAAGAGCCTAGGGGTGCTCACCCTTCCAAACTCTTACTCCTTTGTAACGGTGGCTTTCCTGCCTAACTCCTGACCAGCAGCCTATATCCCCAGAATGAAGTGGGTTAAGCACGCTGACAAATGGCAGTGTATTGTGGCTCTTCTATGACTTCCTTGGTTTAATCCCACCTGAACACACTCTTAATAGGCAGATACTTAGGTGTTAGGAAGGAATGCTGGCACTAAGGCGTGAACTGGAGGCCTATTTGAGAAGGGTTGGGGAGAGTAATTTTTTTTTTTTAAACTTTATTTTTTTTAATTTTTATTTATTTGAGAGAGAGAGAGTGTGTGTGTGTGACCAGCTCAGCCCACCAGGGGGCGGGGCTGGCTGGCATGTGGTGCTGGGGGATTGAACCGTGGTCCCTGATGCTTTGCCAAGCTTGTTCTAAGTAGGTGCCTTAGACCACTGAGCCATCTCTCCAGCCCCAGGGAGAGTAATTTTTAAATGAGAGCAGAAGGATAAGGTAAAAGCATTGTAGGCAGAAAGAACTTGATGGGCTGCAGGCTGTGATGTAGAAAAAAGCTTGTTGATTTCAGAGGCTGTTTGGCTTGGTAAGCAGAAGAGTATGTTGAGGGAGAGTTGGGACCCTGAGATAAATGGAGTCTTTAAGGCTAGAGAGTGGGTTTTGTTGCCCAGCAGACTTGATAAGGTCCTGGGCACAAGACTCAAAGCTATGGGGCTGGGGAGATGGCTCAGTGGAATAAAGCACTTCCCTGGCAAGCGCAAGGGCCTGAGTTCAATCCCTGGTTCTGCCAAAAAAAAAAAAAAGACTCAAAGCTAAGCAGGTCCCACAGGGTGACTGGGAGATGCTTATAGGCTGAGGAGTGGCCACCAACACTTAGTTGCCAGGAACCTTTAGTGTCAGTGCTTCTGTCCAGAAGCACTGAGCTGGCATCCAATGTCAGACCAGGTGCTGATGAGGTCAGGCCCCTCCTGCTGATCTCTCGGGTAACATTCTTTCACCCTTTTCCCTTGCAGGCCCCGGATCCTGGAGATGGATAAAGAGGAGAACCGGCGTTCAGTGCTGCTGCCCACCCACCGGCGGAGGGGTAGCTTTAGCTCTGAGAACTACTGGCGCAAGTCCTATGAGTCTACGGAGGACTGCTCGGAGGCAGCAGGCAGCCCTGCCCGAAAGGTGAAGATGCGAAGGCACTGAGGCCTACTTACCACCCTCCTGGGAACTCTGGCTTCTCCTCACATAGCTGCCCCTCCTTTTGTTTTGTTTTGTTTGTTTTTTGTTTTTGTTTTTGATCATATAATTTTTCCCTGTTTCATTGCCCATCAAGGCTGAAGAACAGAATTGACCTGAGTTCTCACGTTCTTGGATTTCTTCCTGGAAAGGCTGTTGCTGTTTGTTGGGGGCAGAGGCTTATAGCCAATCAAGGTGTGGGGGCCAGCCATCTTCAAGTGGAGCTGGGTTTATTTAAGAGCAACAAAATGTTTTGGTTAAGAAATTTGCAGTTTTGCTTTAAACATAAATCTTTGCAGTGTTCTAAACAAAATTCAGTTTCCTTCCTGCCCCTTTTCCTCCACTGATACCTGCCCTTGGTTAAGATCTCCTGGAACCAGGCCTGCTCTGCATGGGGCAGCTTCCCCACCTCTCACCTATTCTCCATCCTCTGGAAGCTCATGCAGATAATCTTTTCTTCTTCCTGTAGCAGAACTATCTGGGTTGCTGGGTGGTGGAGGGTTTAAACAGTCCCAGCCCCTGCTACCCCAAAGCTAGTGCTGAGCCCTCTGGGGCTATTCTTGGGTTACCAAGGGGCTAGCATGGTGGTCCTGACTTCTCTTGCCAAGAGTACCTCTTTGCTGGGTTGCTCCTTTCAGGCACATTTGTGGGATTGTATGGAAGTTAGACTTGCCATGTTGGGTCATTTTAGTTGTTTCTAGCTAGAGGGACTGATGTCCTTCCAAGTCTGGCATTTGGGGTGTGGGAAATCATTGTGGTGTATGGTAGGGTTTTTATTTTCTTTCAAAGTTATTTTTTCCTTTGGTCTCTTGGCTTTCTTTCCTTTTCCCTCCATTGATCAGCTTGGACCTCTCCTTATGTCACCCTTCTAAGAAGGTGTCACTGCCTCTGTTTGCCTGCAGCATGCATCCAAGGTCAGAGCTCAGGCCTGCAGACTAGGTTGGTGCCTTTTCTGCCTCAGGGGCATGGGAGATCAGGAAGGGGGTCCTAAAAAATAACAAAGAAAAAAAAAGATTAAGTCTTGGCAGTTACTCAGATCCTAGAAGACTGCAAGGTCATGCTGATCTAGATTCATTAGGAATGTCATCTTGCCAGTCTGGCCAGGACTGGAGCCTGTCAAAACCAGGCTCTCATGGCAGGCAACCAGGCTACCACCAGTCTAGAGGGCTTTGCATTGAGTCCCCAGCCTGAGACCTCAAAGGCTGCAGGAATCTGGGGCAGCCACCATCAAGAAGCTCTTCTCTGGGGCCAGAACTCCTTTGCCAGTGTGAATTCCTCAATTTGGGACTGCATAACTAAAGCAGTTGCAGTTTTATTTTTTTTACAGCTTTTTTCCCAAAAAATGATTTGTAGTTGTGTGTGCAGCACTTTGCCCTGATATGTGTGCTCTACAATAAAAACCAAATCTAATATATTTTGAAACAATTGTCTGATATTGTTGTAAGAGAAAACTTGCCTTTTGTGCTTCCTTGATCCCTTTATTAAACCTTAAACAGGGTTTGGGAAAGCGAAGCTCATTATACACCAGGTCTCCAGGAAAAGCAGTTGGTCACTGACATTAAGCCTGATGACTAAGGTGGCCTTGTCCTCTGCCCACTGATCTCTTTTCCTCTCCAAGGAAAATAGCCTTCATTACCCATGGTGTCCAGGGGCCACACATTCCCTGGTAGGATTACAGAGAGCCTGCACACCTTCCACTAAGGCAAAGATGCCCTGAACCAAGGCCGGGAGAAGCCAGCTTTTATAAATGTGTACATATGTGTGATCTTAGTAATTTTTTTAGCTCCCACTATTTGTGGACCATGCCTTCACTGGAACCCCAGTAGTAAGCAAAACTCTTCTGGGCCCTAGCTTCCAAGTATAATAGGCATTTTTGGGTGGGATGAGCCTGGAGCCCAAAGAGCTTTAGTGTCTCATGATCCTTGGTCTAGTTCCCAGGGCCTGGTCAAGAGCTTCAGCCTAGGGTTTCCCTCTGCCTTTCACTGCTCAGCCAGGCAACTTGTCCAAATTCCTACTGTGACAAACTTTTTTTTGGGGGGTAGGGGTATGAATAGAATCATTGCCCTTGCCAGGCACATGCTGTTCTGCTGAGCTATACTCCAGGCCCCCAAATTTATACTGTGGAAACCTGGACACCCATTTACCTGCCCATGTGTGGTATAGAAGAGAGTCCAGAGGGAGCAAGTGAATAGGCAGGGCTCAGTATGACAAATAGTGCCAAAGCCAGACATGATAGCACTCAGGAGGCTAAGACAAGATCGCGATGAGTTCAAGGCCAGACTGTAGTACATAGGGAGACACTGTCTCCAAAACACCCCCAGAAAACTAGTGCAAGGGCCTAGTGTGGAAAAAAAAAAGTGAAAACTAGTGCAGGGCCTCTGAGTGGTGAACCTGTAAGGGCAGCACTGAGCTGGGCACAGTGGATCATGGACGCCTTGAAAAAGACGCACTGGAGCTAAGGGAAGCGACTAGCTGAACATCCAGATTGTTCATGGCAGAGGTGAGTACATCCACCCTGTGGCTGGTTCTAGGGACATGGGGTAGGGACTCTGCAAAGAGGGACCCCTTTTTTTTAGCTGTGACAAAGTCAGACCTTGGCTCTTCCCAGCCCCTTGGTGAAAGAGGTGGTTTTTGTTTTTTTTGTTTTTGCATAACTGGCAATTAAACTCAGGCCCTTGTGCTTATCAGGCAAACGCTTATTCTACTGAGCTATCTCCCCAGCCCCAAAAGAGGTCTTTTACCATGTAGAAGAGGCTTTAACTCCAGCGTTTCTTGCCATCTCCCTGACTTCAGTCTCTGAACTTGAACTGTAGCCTGCTGGTGATAATCTTGAGCAGGCCTCCCTGAGGCCCATACCTGGCTCTGAACCTGGCTATTCCCACCTCCTCACAGGGCACCACACCAGGTGCTGAGTCCCATCAGTTCCTGTCCCCAGCTTGTCCTCTTACATAGCAGGGGATCCAGGAACAGCTGGTACCAGCCCTGCCCATACAGGATTCTGCTTCATGCTGCCAAACCTATTATGTGGAAGCCCAAAGAAGAGAGGAAGTTGTTGCAAATCACATTTATTCACTTAAAAAATGAGCACTGCCAAGCTCAGCACTGGAGGTATAATGTACACATAAAGATAGTATGTGTGTACTGATACAACAGAAGTGGATATAAATTAGGACTTGCAGGTATGGGGTTTTTTGTCGGATTATTTTTCTTTTCGCAGTACTGGGAATTGAACTTAGGTCCTTTGCACTGAACTACATTGCTGGCTGTTTTGTGAGACATGTCTCAGCAAGTTGCCCAGGCTGGACCTGAACTTGTGATCCTCCTGCCTCATTCTCCCAGAGTGTCAGTACTCTTATTGTAAATTTCATATAGCCAATTTTTCCTCAGAATGCTTTTCTTGACTTTTTTTTTCTTTTTTGATAAATTCTGAAATTTTCATCTTGTGTCTATAGATGAGAAAAAAAAATTGTTTTAATTTAAAATTTTAGCCAGATGTGGTGGCCCACGCCTGGAATCCCAGCACTCAGGAGCCTGAGGTGAAAGGAGTTTGAGGCCAGCCTGGGCTAGCTACATAGCTGGCCAGCTTGAACTGCATAGTGAAACCCTGTCTCAAAAAGACAAGTAGGGGCCAGGGAGATGGCTCAGTGGAATAAGAACTTCCCTGGCAAGTGCAAGGACCTGAGTTCAATCTCCCGTTCCGCAAAAAAAAAAAAAAAAAAAAAAAAAAAAAAGGACAAGTAAATAAAAATTTACAGAAAAGAACTGCTAGAGCTGGTGAAATAGCTCAGCGGTCTAAATCACCTGCTTAGCCAAGCACAAGAACCACGGTTCAATCCCCAACACTACATGCCATGCCATCCCTGCCCCCAGAGCGGGCTGAGCCAGCCACAAAAACAAAAACAAAACTGCTGTTCTTCTCCCTCAGTGTTCCCTCTTGTTTGAGTACTCATCATTTTTGTTGCTTTCTAAAACAGTTTTAGAAATCCTTTCATGTCTTTGAGATCAAGAACATGGAGAAGGTAGCTGTGGATTGCCATCCAACAGAAAGGTAGGGCCAGGGGAGATGGCTCAGTGGAATAAGCACTTCCCTGGCAAGCATAAGGGCCTGAGTTCAACAGAAAGGCGGACTCATAAAAATGAGGCTGTATCCTCATCTGCCTTAGCATATTTGGTATCTTGCAACTTCTGACTGTTCCTCAAAGTAAAAGACCTACAAAAGGTATAAATGTTCTAAATCAATTGACATGAAGATGGCCATGCTGTGCAGTTAAAAACCTGAAAGTGACAGGAACAATGGGAAAAGTTTTAAAAGCAGGGAAAGTATTTTGAAGAGGGTTAACGACAATGTGTCTTATTTTAAAATTTTTAGACATTCACTGTATTTTTTGGTCATGCCTTGTCCTACCACAGTGTGCAAGAAATGCAGCTTACCTGCTGTATCCATTTTATTTCTTCCTTTTTTTCTCTCTCTTAGGGAAGTGCTTATTCTACTGAGCCATCTCCCCAGCCCTTCTCCTTTCTCTTGGAGAGAGGTTTATTTTGGCTCACATTGTATCAGTTTCCTGTGGCTGCCAAAACAAATTTATTCTCACAGTTCTGGAGTCAGAAAGCCAAAATCATTTATTATTAGACTGAAGTCAAGGCATGGATAGGCCCAAGCTCCCTCTGGAGGTTCTAGTGGAAAACCCCTCACTTGGCTCTGACAGCTTCTGGTAGCTGTAAACCTGTCCATGCTCTATACTTGAGTCACAGGCTTGCTGTGTACCACATCTCCTGCGCCCCTCTTTTTGTAGGACATTGTGATTGGATATAGGAGCATGGAACCCAGGGCCTTTTATATGCTAAACAAGTGTTCTACCCTGAGCTATAGCCACAACCCCCAAGTACCCTTTTTCTCTGAAGAACATTGACAGGTTCCAGGGATAAGAACCTGATAGCTTTGGAGAGCACTGAGTTTACCACATTGATCTTTTCCCAACAAATTGATTGTCATTAAATCTGATATGTGACCAATTCTTCAAAGAAATTATGCTCATGGGATTGAAAATTCTCAGCAGTAGCACTACTGTGATTGCATATTTAAATTACAACTATTTTGGTTTAAATAAAAGATGTTATTGTAAATAAATTTTATCTGTTTTTGTTTTGTTTTCTGTTTTTAGTTTAGGGGCCAGGGAGATGGCTCAGTGGAATAAGTGCTTCCCTGGCAAGCGCAAGGGCCTGAGTTCAATACCTGGTTCCGCAAGAAAAAAAAAAAAGAAATTTCTGTTTTTAGTTTAGCTATTCAAGATTTTAAGCTTTTTATTATTATTTTTTTATCCTGGGTGTTGAACCTAAGGTTTCATATATGCTAAATGTAGCTCTTTACCAATGACCTACAAACCTAGTGCCAAGAATTTGAAATGACTTGAACTTACATTTTCTGTTACATGGCACTGGGCTAGGACATCAGCATTGAATCAAGCTTGATCTGTGGTGTGTACCAGTTTCCATGATGTAAGTATTGTCACATTGGCTGATTTCAACATAAGGACAATGAACTTGGAACTGTGAAAGATGTGCAGTCTCACCCATTATATAATGTTTGCACCATGCAGGGATAGTAAAAGTAAAGAGCTGGTATTTTCCTAACTCTGCTGACCATGAATAAAAGACCAAAGTATTAAACAGAGCATAGGACTGGGGTGTAGCTCAGTAGTAGAGCATTTGCCTAGAATCTATCCCTAGCACTGCAAAAACAAACTATTTTATTAAAATAAAACATACATAATGGTCGATATATGTAGGAAATGCTTGCCTTTGAATATAAGCACCTTCATTTTTTTTTTTATGAGAAGAATATATTTATTGAGAGAAAGAAAGCTCCTGTCCAAGAGAGGGACAGGAGGGGGGCCCGAGCGGGTAGTTCCCCAACACCTTCATTTTTAACATAATTTAAATTTCAAGGGCCAGGGAGATGGCTTAGTAGAATAAGCACTTCCCTGGCAAGCACAAGGACCTGAGTTCAATCCCCAGTTCTGCAAAAAATAATAATAAATAATTTTCTTTTTTGGTAGCTGGCTCAGCCCACCCTAGAGTAAGGTTGGCACGGCATGTGGTACCAGGGATCAAACTCTGATTCCTGCGCACTTGTCTAAGCTTGCCTAAGCAGGCACTTTCGACTGCTGAGCTATCTCACCAGCCCCCATAATTTAAATTTCATTTCATCAAATATAACTTTTTTTTTTCTTTTTATCCATTTCTGGGGCTCCTTTCTTCTCTCTTCCCTGTACTATTGACTACTAGCTCCTGTAATTTCCAGAGACTTTAACTGACAGTAAAAATTGTTGAAAATTCACCTGTTGAATATTTTTTTTTAATTTGTTTTTTTTTTTTTTAATTTATTTACTTATTTTATTTTTGTGTGTGTGTCCA